TGGTGGCAGGATCCCATAGTATTGTAAGGTTAAAAAGGTCACTGTCATTTCTGGTTACTGTGAGGTGCTCTGATCCAAATGCTCACGCCAGTCAATCCAAACTCATTACCTTGTGGCACATCTTGCAGATTCCGGTACCAGGAAATGGGTATTCCAGACTCAGTGATACCTTTCATGTACACTGGTGATTCAGCGTCACGCTCTAGGGCAATTGTCTTATCAGTCAGTGTCAGGGCTTGGATTTCACTTAATTTTTGGCTTACTTCCACCAAATGTACAGAAATGTCACAGTTTTTTAGCACAGACCCAAGCTGACTGAAGACCTAAATATATAGGAAGAAATATATTAGCAAAATTCAGTGTACTTTGCCACTAAGTGGATTTTTAAGTTTCAATTCTACTTATCTCAGTAAGTTGTTTAAGTCAGAGGAAATAGCATTTATATTTGGGTTTAGAGAAAGTATGCTTTAAGAGCTCACTTTCCAGGATACCACTGGAAGCATTATTTATTAGAAATGTTAACTATGACTTCCAAAACAAGGGTATAAGCCATATCTTGCTTTCCAAGAAAAAAGTTCTTTCATTTATTTTGTTCGCTTTAAGTCCTTTATCACAGACAAAACAATGATAATGCTGGAAAATCTAACATCACAGTTTATATTCAGTGAGCTTTTTTTTTTTTTTAACTGAATAATGAGGACTAGCAGAAAGAAACAAGTAAAGCTCATGGGTTCCAAAGTAGCATGCACGCAAAAAAGTTTACAAGATTTTCTTTTAAATCACAAAATATGCAGACTGAAAATCAATGTTTTTTGAACATTATGAGCAAATGATCATGCCGCTTGAGCAAAATACTTGGAAGGTGGGGCACTGCTTGGTGCCACTTCTCTGGTGGTCTTCAGGAGCCCCGCCCACTCTACCGGAAGATGAAGGGATGAGCCAAACACTGCTCTTCTCAGCCCTTCTCTACTTGATCCCTGTTTGGAGCCTGGGGCCCCAGCTGCCTTCTCCCATCTCCGGTCATCGATATTAACTCCCCCCGCAAAGAGAAGAGGTGAGCCCCAGGCCCCCAATCCTGAACATCTGGGACCTCAGATACCTTTATCAGCCAAGTGATCCAAGAATACCCAGGCCCAGGAGCCTGAGCCAGAGAAGGAGAGGCCAAGGCACCTGAGTTCCCAGGCCTGCAGACCGTAGGATCTCCAAAAAGGCCTCATAAAAGTTTCCCATTTTCCTCAATCTTCTTCCTCCCTCCTCTATCTGTTCCAATAGGTGGAAAGGGGGGCCTGGGGCCAAATATTCCTTTTTTTCCCGTTGTGTTATGAGTGGTGGGATTTAAGAGAAGCTCCTCTCCATCATATATTTGTTACAGTGAATGAGAACTAGGCCTACAGCAGAGGCCACGGCTTTAAATCCCACCTATGCTAACTCTGTGAGCCTCAGCAAGTCTGCACCTTTTTGGGCCTTCATTTCCTCATATGTAAAGTGACAAGGTTCAAATTCAAATCTTTGATCCTATAATCTCCACAGATGCTTGAAAGTTTCAGCCACCTGAAATTCATCTGGGTTAGTGAAGTAGCCCTGACAGAGTGAACAAGGGAGTGGCAGAAGCTGAAAAATTTTCACTTCTGCAGCCTTTCAAAAAATCTGTGACATTATTGGGCGGGCACTTTCTCCATCAACCCAAGCAGGCTGAGTCACTCTGGCCAGCATAGTTATCTACCAATGACCAACTCTCTGGTGATGAGAACCTCCAAACTGACCTTGAGTGGTCTGTGGATCACAGACAGGCAGAAGTCTATCACAGGGCCCATATCTGAAGTCTTTCCAGTTTGGTAGGACTGGCCATAGCTTGCACTTTAGAAACCCAGGGTCACTTCCACACCACAATGAGGTATCAGAGGAGGATTTTAGGGAAACCATTCACATCTTAGTGCAAATTTGTAGGATCAGATCATTTTTTAAAGACGTTACTGAAATGAGCTGAAGGAGTAGGTATTTCAGATTGGGAGAAAGCATAAAAGCAAAATCCCTTGAAACAGGCCTGAGTGCTGCAAAGGGAGTTGGAACAATGGCAACTGAGGAAACATGGCAAATGAGGGAAATGAGGCAGAAAGGCAAGGAAAAGGAGATTCCTACTTCCCAATTTTGCCAAGGATTAGCTGTGCCTCCTCCCACCTTCCCAGAGGCCAAGAAGGTCTATCTTTTAACTTGTCAGAACTCTAGTTCAACTCCACCCTTCTCTTTACCTAGAGTCTGGCAGGGAAAGTGGGATGGATGATGATGCTTACAAAACTGAGATGACACCTTGAAAGGGTAGGCACAGGACTAGTTTTGAAGAGAAATGAAAGTGCAAATAAGAGTATATCATACTATGCAGAGCTCTGCATGGATGTAGCTTAGCAGAAAATTTCAGTTAGCACATAATAAATATTTTTATATATTTTTGTGCACATATTAGTAAAGCATAACATTGATAAATGTATAACTCATTTCAGTCTCTTGCAACCATTATAGATAGTAAGTTTTCACATATTAAATAACAGCTGGGAAGAATGAGACAATGTATTGAGAGATAAGAGCTATAGAAATTACATTTTCAAATTCAAATTGGGAGTTGGCAAGATTAAACTACATGAGACTTTAAGACATCCTAAAGTTACCTACCCTCAAAATATCACCAGTAAGAGTGCCCCTACCTGGGCCCAGTTCCACCAACTGGAAAGTTGAGCTTTTTCCAGTGGCCATCCATTCACTAATGCACCATATACCTAGTAACTGGGGGTAGAAAAAAATACATTTAAATAAACATAAAAATCTATATAACATGCCTTTCACTTATATAACAGTTGACAAATATACTTTGATGCAAAATGTTACAAAACCACTATTTCTCCTCCAGTAAACAATTTTTAAAGAAATTCATGAAAAGAAATATATGTGTGTGTGATCTACATACACAATACATAGTAATACAAACACATCCACACACAAGCTTTACTACTTGTTTTGAAAATCTGAATTTCTTCCAATGTGACTGATACATTAGGGAACAATGTGAACATAGCACGAATTTCACATTTGCTTATGCTTAATTTCTTCCAAGAGAAAGAGTGAGAATGCAGAAAAGTACACCACTTCATAATAATTCACAAGTTATAAACCTTCCAATGCTCTCTTCCACAAACTTCAGGGCAAGGTTATAGACTACATTTATTATATATCTTCTGGTGCAGAAGGATCTGTGGGCAGAAAAGGACTGGTCCGCAGTGACACACTTTCCGCCACAGCCTCTTGGCCTGCCCAGCTTTCTACTGACTTTGCCAGCCCGGGCTCTGTGTGAGTAAGGCAGATCAAGTAACTTCTCTAGATTGGGGACAGCCCAAGGTTGCTGACACTGCCACTATGTATTGTAGTATTCATGTATTTCTCAACTATTTAACATGTCAAAATTGTGTTATCATTTTTGTTAGGATTCTGCCTTTTTTCTTAATGTGTCACTGATGAAGTTTTTGAGTGTTGTGTCCTGCCCCTTCCCCATTTCCCCCCCAATCTCTGGTTTTTATTGCTCAATTTTGCATATCACAGTGCTTTTTGGGAACCCATATGTTACCTTATAGCAGAACTAACTGAACAAAAATTTCATTATAACAATGTTTACTTCAGATTGTAATGTGGTATAAGACAGATCCATCTTTTTTATCAAAGGGAGTTTATCTACTGAAGATCCAAAGAAGACCCTGTTATAATACAGTTTTAATTATAAAGTGCCTCCATGACACAGACCAGAGGATAGTATATATAAAGAAGCTATAATGTGTGTCTTTATACTCACAAGTAGAAACACATATACGTATAAACATACATTCACATTACTAGGTACAGCATAGCCTTAAAGCTTATACCAATTTTTATCTGGCCTTGGGGAGTCAGTTTCATTTTTTTACATTCACATTTCATACGGCAAACTTTGATATTAGATTCACTTTTACAGTAAGTATAAAATGTTTACCTCTCCAAAGATCTGACTTATTTCAGGTGAAGTAATAAAGTCTCCTCTTTCTCCTATCATATCTTGGTATACATAGTAGCCCTGAGGAAGAAAAAAATATATGTTAGAATAGTTCTTTGACTTGGAAAAATATTCTTCTAAACTATTCTGCTAACATATATACATAAACACTGCTTGCATGTTGTACAGAGAGAGAAAGAGAAACAACTAATCACAAAGAACTACCTCCACTAAATAATCAATGTAAAGAAGTAACATAAAGGTCTGTTTAAAAATCATAGCGCTCCTTTCTAGAAGTGATGGAAATCATCCTTAGTAAAACAACTACTTCCTTTGCCAGTGGGCATAATCTTCCATTTTCTCCATGTTTTGTTCATTATATGAGAGACTACCTTTTTTGAATAGTCACAAAACCTGTTTCTTTTATTCTTTGCTCTGCTGCTGGCCTAAAGTCAAGAATTTACTGCATCTTGCTGGGCTTAAGTTCCCTAGTCTACAAAAATAAAGATTGAAATGTCTTTCTCTGTTTCATATAAAAGTGAAAAATATAAATGCAATGAACATCTTTATCAATTAATTGTAAAACTTTAAAACAATAATTTTTTAAAATTTAAAATTTAAATTTAAGAGAAAGTATAACTTTAAAAAGAAACTATTAAGAAAAAACACTATAATGCTACCCAATATTTCATAACAAATCAAGTCCTGTTCCAATCAGGTACGATGTCCTTTTCATTCTTTGTTGGTGACTCATTCATTCCACAAATATGATTGAGTATCTACTACCTGCAGACAGAGCTGGCTTTTCCTTTTCATTCCCAATGTCACCACTCTCACCACCCTGGACTAGCTTCCTCACTGATCTCTCTGCCCAGCTTCTCCCCACTCTACCCATCCTCTACCACCATAGCCAGATTCAACTTCCTAAAACACTGTTTTTATTTTATTGCTCTGCTTAAAACTTAAATAACTCTCATTTTCTATTCCCAACTCCTTAACTTTGTATTCAAAGCTCTCCAATTTCAAGTCCCAATGGGGAGCCTCCATTGTGTCCAGGTTAATCTGCTCAGTGTCTCCTAAATATACTTTGGTCATCCCAGGCTCCTACACTGATGTCTACTGTTTTGCCCGGCTCTGAATGCCCTACTTTCTTCTCATTAATATCTAATATTTCTTATACATAGACCTGATCATAACAATCCTCTGCTCAAAAATCTTCAATGGCTCCTATTCAGAAACTGTCCTTTCTTGAATAAAGTTCAAAACGCTTCCTAACTTTTGAAGCTCGCCAAAACTTAGAGCCACCCTAACTTGCCAGGCTTGTCTCATATTACTCCCTTCGATGTACCCCAAATTCCACAACACCGCTCTACCTCATTCCCTCAACAAACCATATACTCTCTCGTCTCTGCCTTTCGTCCACATCAGTCCCTGTGCCTAGAATCTCCCCAACTCCCTCTCTGCCTCTTGATTTCCTATCCATCTTTTAATATCCAATTAAAATGCCTCCTCTTCAAAAAGAATTCCCTGATCCATGCCAGTCAATAATATTCTTCTCTTTTGGACCTCAAAGAATAGTTTACTTTGCAACTTGCTAATGTGCTTACTATGTCATGATGTTCATCACAGTGTGAATAATTTTCTACTGAATCATAAGCCACATGAACACAGGGACCACATCTAATCTAAATTTTGTATCTCCCCCAGTTCCTAGCACAGAGCTCCATATACAACGGATGTTTGAATGGATGAGTAGATCAAAGAATAAATGAAAATAATCCTTATCTGCCTTTCAAAGGAAGGCCTGACTCAGACTTCACTGCCTCTGTGAAGGGCTCCTCAGTGATGCCAACCTTCTCTAAACTCTCCATCTGAACTGTCTATACCACTCACCTGGCACTTATATGCTGCCTTCTTATTTTATTTTTTATTCTGTTTATTTTATCTCCACAATGAGACCATAAGCACTTTTTTTTTTGGCTTTTTTTTGTGAGGATTTTGGGGTTAAGTGACTTGCCCAGGGTCACACAGCTAGTTAAGTGTCAAGTGTCTGAGACCACAGTTGAACTCAAGTCCTTCTGACTCCAAGGCCAGAGCTCTATCTGCTACGCCACCGAGCTGCCCCGAGACCATAAGCACTTTAAGGCAAGTGTCCTAGATTCCACTGCATTTCTTCTAGCAGTGAGCACAGTGCTCTGCACATAGCAGGTGCTCAGAAACAGAATGACACCCCAGTGAAAAGGTATTTTAAACTGTTCTTAATTCAAGTTGTTGAATTAATACAAATGATCACCTCTTCTTTTAGATCCTTCCCATTGCAAGCAGTTATTTAATTAGCTCTTCCTTTACCCAAGGATATGACTGTCGTGCTCAATATAAACTTTAGTATACCACTGGGCAAAGAAGAAAAAAAGCTAGTAATGAGGAACTGCCTCCACACTGTGATTTGAGGGGCACTGAAAGCCCCAACTCTGCTCCCAAAATATTTCCTTCACTTGCCTACTGAAACAACATTCTCCAACCCTCAGATCTACAATGCCCACCATTAAATTCATACTCCTGAGTTACTCCAAAAGTTGAGGCTAATGTCTCCAGAAGTCTTTTCTATATGTCAAAATAGGAAGCTCTTATCTATCTCCCAGGTTCCAACTAATTTATGAGATTAATTAGTTGACATCTTGGAAGACAGAGAATGTGCCTAAGTTTTAGGACTGTGGCATAGAAGAGCAGCAGAGCTACATCCACTGTAATTTTGCCTAAGGCTAAACTAGTAGAGAGGGACAAAGAGACCTGGGTTACCTTGGCTGGGTTAGTCAAGACTTCCTTCATGTATTCAGCCACTGTAATGGGGCCAGTTGCCTTTATTTTGTATGTGAGGTGCCGCAGCATTGGGGTAACAGGATTGCTTTCTGCCGACTCCTTTCCTGAGCTGAAGTACTTCACTTTCCAAAGGAAAGGAATAACTAAACGTTAAGACAAAAAAAAAAAAAAAAAAAAAAAAAAAAAAAAAAAAAAAAAAAAAAACAAACAAACAGAACTAGTTAATACCATTCCTACATACTGAGCTTTTTCAGGTTTTTAAATTGCTTTGTGAAGGGATAACCAAAACAAAACACCCATCATCTAGGTTGCACTAATACAAGCATAGGTCTTGCTTGGATGCTTAATCATGGTGTGGAAGTGACCCTGAATTCCTTAAGGCTGTCAGTTCTGGAAGGTCCAACAAAGTGCAAAAGCCTTTGGTTAAATGATATTTATATAATATCAATTTATCATTTTGTGTACATTATATCACTTGAGCTTTACAACATCCTTATTAGGGAGGTTTTAAGAATAGACCTGGCATGTATTGTCAGCTTGGATACATTTAGAGAGCTTCATCATCACTAAGGGCTGGCCATTGACCTCTGGGGTTCTCTAGCTCATGCCTTCTACTAAGTCACGGAGGAGTGGCAATCTACATCAGTGGAGGGAAGCAGACACAGTGATGACTTCTAAAGCACTTAAGAAACAACCAGTGTACTGTTTCCATTATATTTAAGGGCTGTGTTCAGGGAATACTGAAACGGGGGTTGTCCAAAGGATAGAACCACAATAGTGAGAAGACAAGCGACCAAGTCATAGGAGTAACTTTTGAAGGCAGAGTGAATGTTTAGCCTGGAGAATAGAAGATTTGAGGGAGTTAGAGGAGAAGTGGGCTATGATCTTTCTTCAAGTCACTGCAGTGCTGTAATATGAAAGTCTCATTCAGTGTGGCCCCAGAGGGTAGAAGCAGGAGCAATATATGTAAGCTACAGAGAAGCAGATTTTAGCTTAACATAACTAGTCACAGTGTAATCTATCCAAAATAATTACCTAAGGTAGCTAGGTAGTACAGTAGATAGAGTGGCAGGCCTGGAGTCTGAAGACTTATCTTCCTTAGTTCAAATCTGGCCTCATATACTCACTAGCTTTGTGACCCTAGGCAAGTCACTTGGTAATGGCTAAGCTACTCCAGTATCTCTGCCAAGAAAACTCCAAATAGGGTCAAGAAAAGTCAGACATGATTGTAAAATAACTTAACAACAAAATAATTACCTAAAAATTGAATCTATCTAAAAATGGAATGATCTGTTTTAGACATCAAGTTAAGGATGATGCAGAGGAGACTTATGTGCAGGGGTGGAGTACCTGCAGTCTCAAGGCCACATGTGGCCTTCTAGGACGGAGTCCAAGTTTTACACAACAAATCCTCTTACGAAGGGGATTTGTTTTATTAAGTCCCTTGACAGGGTTGGGGAAAGGCAGAAAAATGCTGGATGTGGAGTCAGAGGGCTGGTTTTTGAATCATGACCTGAGGGAGACATTTTCCCTTTCTAGGCCCCTAAAATGAGGACATTGGTCTAGGTGGACTGTAACGTCCTTTTCAGCTGTAAATCTTTTTTATGATCTTTGACCTCTGAGGTCCCTTCCTCATTATTCAATGATAACATCTTTAGGGTAATAATTTTCCATTGCATTCACATTTCACAATTTGTTCTGCCATTACTGAGCTGATGAAGACCGCCTTTTTTCCACTTCTTTTCTTTAATTTAAAAATGCTGCTATAAATATGTTTGTACTTATCAGTTCTTTCCCTCTGTCCATGACCTCTCTGGGAGATATGCCCAGCTGAAGTACTGAGCAGTGAGACCTTCAGTGACCTTTGCATATACTTCTAAACAGCTCCTCAGATTGACTGGACCAATTCATCATTCCACAAAAAGTATATTAATGTGTATTAAAGCATTATTAATTCAGGACTGAAAAACGACTGAACAACAACATACTCTACAAAATACTATATTACACTAAGGTTTGCAAAGTACGTAACAAATATATAATACTATCTGATAAATTATACTATACTACTATACTACTCCTATGGTTTGTAAAGTGCCTCACAAATATGTACTACTACATGATAAAGTATACTATATGGTATGATATACCATACTATGCTATGGTTTGCAAAGTGACTTACAAATATACACAACTACATGATAAACTATACCATATTAATAGTATAACTACTATATTGTTAAATGAGATAATTATATCATGGATTTTTATATATTAGCATACTACATATTATGATAAGCTTATATGAGATAATTGTAAAACATTTAGTATGTAGGAAGACCTATATAAATGTTAGCTGTAATTTTCATTTAATAAGAGTGTACCACGTGCTAATCTCTGGGGATGCGAATAAGAAAAAGGCAGTCCCTGCCCTCAAGGAGCTTACAATCTAATGGGAAGCTGAAAGCGGGTATGATGAAAATGAGGACAGAGTTGAAACCAAGCAGAGCAGCTGGTGGCAAATGAAAAGAAGGCCAGCATTCTGATCCTTCTATAACGGAGACCAGGGGAGGAGATATGATCTCATTTTTATCCTCACGATAACCCAGCAAGTCGGTGCTATCCTTATGCCCATTTTACAAACGGGCAAACTGAGGCTGCCAGCAGCTGAGTGACTCTCCCAGGGTCTCTGGGATCCCAGGAGGGTCTCCCAAACCCCAGGCCCTGCGCGCTACCCGCTGCGCCGCCCCGCCCGTAATCATCACCGCTGGGAGGGTCAGGAGCCTCACCATTCTAAGGGTTTCTCTCCGGATCCCGCTCCGGTGCCTGGCCAGCCCAGTCGCGGAAGGGCGCGGAGGGGCGCAGACCGGCCCAGACCGGACCAGGGAGGCCGGGCACTGCCCAGGATCCCCCAGCCCGGCGTTCTCCTCCCCCTCCTCCACCTCCTTCCCTTCCTCAGAGTGCCAGGCCCCGCCCTGCGCAGGAGGGGGCGCCCTCCTCACAAGGACGCTTTGAAAGGAACAGATGAGAACGCGTAGATTACAAAAAATCGTTCTGTATTTTTTCCCCATCCATGTTCCCGGGCTGGGGGGCTCTGGGGCCGCCCAGGGTTCTTTCCAGGAGCCGTCCCTAGAAAGGGGCGGGGCCGAATCTTACCAGCGCGCTGGGCCGGAAGAAGCAGCCTCGCGCGGGCCTTCAAGAGGACGCTCATGCCGAACGCGGGGTCGCAGCACGCGCCTAGAACCCTCCGCCACCTCGAGTTGTAGCTGGAGCCGGAGCCGCCGGCGTAGCCCGGCAATGCTTCTTCCCCTTCCGCTCCCCAGACGTTCGGTCCCGCCCCCTCGGACCGGCTCACCGGAAGTAGCGTCGGGCGTCATCGCCGCTAGGCGGAAGTGACGCAGGAGGAGCGCGCCCGGGCGGACAAGTGCGATGGCTCCTCAGAAGCCCCGCGTGGAGTTTCACCCCGAGCGGCCCTGGGGCCCTGGGAAGGCAGAGGAAGCGGCAGCGGCGGTCGAGGACGATGAGGAAGATGACGGGGAAGACGGAGGTGAAGACGGCTTCACCCTGGAAGAGGTGCTGCGGCTCGGAGGCACCAAGGTAAGAAGGCCCAGCCCCACCCGGGACAGGTGGCCGAGGCTGGAGTTCCGGAGGAGCGAGGGAGGCGGGCGCGTAATTCTTCCACTGCAGATAAACGGACAAAAAGGCGCCTGGGATTCACTTTATGTTTGACCGTGAAGGGTCTCCGGCCCCGCAGAACCGAACCGTCAGTCCATTCTGGGGATCAGGGGTCAGCGCTGACGCCACGGGGCAGAAGAGGGTGGGGGGACGCAGCCAACATGGGGGCGGTGAGCCACGAATCTCGATTTCTTGCTTCATGCAACTGTATAAGTGCCTGCTATGTGCCAGGCAGCGTGCCAAGGACTGGGCATGCGAAGAAATGCCATGACGTCCTGGCTCACAATGTAATGGGGGAGATCACACGCGAAGGACTTTGAGCAAACGAGATACGAACAGGATCAATTGGGGGAAGGCCCCATGTTGAATAAAGGGTGAGGGTAGGGGTGGGTCGGAAAAGAAAGAGAGATTTTAGCTGGAACTTTAAGGAAGCCAGGAGTCCGAGATGAGGAGTGAGAGCATTCCAGGTATGGAGGATTAAAGTGTCTGGAGCCTGGACGTGCACCTGCGTAGCATCAGAGTGTATGGGAGTTCAAGGTATAAGAAGACTGTAAGGGGTGAGAGAGAAAAGTTATGAAGGGCATTCATGATCCTGGAGAGTAATCAGGAGGCACTGGAGTTTATTGAATAGGGAGGTGATATGGTCGGACTTACACTTAAGGAAAACCAATTTGACAAACAAGTGGAGGATGGATTGGAGTGAGGGGAGACTTGAGGCATGCAGACCCACTAGCAGGCATTTGCGATAATCCCAGTTTGAGGTGATGAGGACCTACACCGAGGTGGTGGTAGAGAAGAGGCCATGTGCAAAGAAATGTCATAAAGGCAGAATAGAGGAGTTGAAGATTATGGTATTTAATTATCCAACTATAAACTTTCTGTTGACTTCCTGTTTCTCATCTCCAACTGTCTATCAGATGTCTCAAACTGGATGATGGGTAGACATCTTAAACAACCTGTCCAAAAGGAACTCATTATCTCCGCCCACCCACTCCCTCCAAAACAAAAACAAAAACCTTCCCCCCCCTTTCAGACTTCCCAATTACTGTCCAGGTTACCACTAGCCTCCGGGTCCCCTCAGGTTCACAACCTAGGTATCATTTTTGACTTCTCTCTCTCACCTCCATATCCAAGCTGTTGCCAAACCTGTTGATTTCACCTTTGCAACATCTCTGGAATATGCCCCTTCTCTGACACCTGTCATCACACTGGTGCAGGCCCTCATCACCTCATGCCTGGGCCACTGCAGTAGCCTGCTGGAGGCTCTCTCAAGTTACTCCAGTCTAGCTTCTGTTTAGCCAACAGTGATTTTCCTAAAAGCATAGGTCTGACCATGTTCCCCTTCTATTTAAGGAACTCCAGGGGCTCTATATTATTACTCCAGGATCAAATTCAAAATCCTCTGTTTGGCATTTAAAGTCCCTCATAAAGTAGCCTCCCCACTTTCCACTCTTTTTATACCTTACATCCCTCCTGTATATTCTTCAGTCCAGTAACGCTGGCCTCCTTGCTGTTCCCAGAATAAGACATTCATTCTCTTTGCTCCAGGCATTTTCACTGACTGTCCTCCATGCCTGCAATGTTCTCCTTCCTCATCTATACCTCCTAACTTCTCAAAATTACATGAAGCCCCAACTAAAATCCCTCCTTCTACAGAAAGGTTTTTCCAATACCTATTAATGTTGGTACCTTATTCTGTTGATTATTTTCCTATTTATAATGAACATAGATTGTTTGTACATATTTGCTTTATGTTATCTCCCCCATTAGATTGTAAAGTCCTTGAGGGTAGAGACTGCCTTTTTGCCTTTCTTTGTAACCCCAGGACTTAGCACATAGTAAATATTTAATAAATACTTATTGACCTACTGCCCTGGCAACAGTTTGGATATGGGGATAAGGGAGTTAGACAGTGAGCAGTGAGAATGATATCTAGGTTGTGAACCTGGGTGCCTTGAAGGATAGTGGTACCCTGGACAGTAATAGATAAGTTAGAAAGACGGGACGGCTTGGGTAAAGGGAATGAGTTTAGTTTGGAACATGTTCAGTTTAAGGTAAGATATCTATAGGACATCCAGTTTGAAATGGAAGACTGCAGATCAGGAGAAAAATTTGGGCATCATAAATAGACCTGAGAATCATCATCATAGAGATAATAACTGGATCCATGGGAGCTAAGGAGTTCACCAAGTGAAATAATAGAAAGGGGGAAAAGGACAGAGCTTTGGATGACACCCATGGATAGTAAATATGACCTGGATGAAATTCCAGGAAAAGAAATGAAGAAGAAATTATGAGATAGATAGGAGGAATACCAGCCAGAAGAGACCTTAGGTAGCTAGGTGGCCTAATGGTTAGTTTGAAGACTTTGAGTCTGGAAGAAGGCAGTTCAAAATCTGCCTCAGACACATATTAACTGCACACATCTATTTAACATTTGTCTGACTTAGTTTCTACATATGTAAAATGGCGGCAATAATAGCACCTACCTTTCAGTATTGTTGTGAAGATAAATTTACATTATATATGTAAAGTACTTTGCCACCCTTAAGTGCTATGTAAATATTGTTATTGTAACCTTATTGTTATATTAATATTCTATTACATATAATTACTTTAAATCATATTTAACCCCATTATTTTTACACATGAAGAAACCTAAGTCCAAAGTAGTAAAATACTTGTCCAAGTTAAAATAGTGGATAAGATAATAATGATTGACATTTTTGTTGTGCTTTAAGGTTTGTAATTTGCTTTTATAGAGGCTGCTAGATAGCACAGTAGATAGATCTCTGTGCTTGGAGTCAGGAAGACCTGAGTTCAACTCCAGCCTTAGCCTTAGCTAAGGTGCTAGCTGTGTGACTGGGCAAGTCACTTAATCTCTGCTTGCCTCAGTTTCCTTAGCTGTAAAATAGGGATAATAATAGCACCTACTTCCCAGGCACGGTGTTGTCATTCCCCATTCCCCCTCCAATTCATTTTTTAGCAACAGAACTAAGGTTCAAATCCAGGTCCTTTGAGTACATTGCTATTCTAAAGCCTCACTGGGGGAATTCAAACAATTTTTTAATCATTTGGGGATGGAGATGTGAGTACAGAAATCAGGCAAATTAGTTTGACAGAATTCAATTAAAATAGGCCATACTGTGGAATTACTGGGCTTTTTAAATATCTGGGTAAAGAACCATCTAATGTGATTAGCTAGTTGTGTCAGATGTCTTCAACTCTTAGAATAAGAGTTGAATAAACTTAGACTGTGGTTATGTCCAATCATTTTTAAAATGACTTTGACATGCTAATTTAATAATTACTAAAGATAAGTAGTAAATGTTAATTTGAATTCTTTAATGTATTTGATATGTTTGACATTTTACAATTTTATTATTTTTATGCAGCAAGATTATCTTATGCTGGCAACTTTGGATGAGAATGAGGAACTCGTGGATGGAGGCAAAAAAGAAATGATTGATGACCTTCAGCAGGGTGAACTAGAGACGTTTATCAAAAATCTGGGTGTATCCAACTATTCAAAGAATTTCCTGTTGGAAGAGGATAAGGAGCTAGCAGGAAATAAAGCCAATGATAAAGAAACTAAAATATCTAAAATAGAAAAGAAAAAAGATACTCCAGCAGAAAGCAAAAAGGCACCAGCTAATAAAGACAAAAAGAGTTTGAAGAAGCAAGCACAAGTCATTGATGAAGACAGCAGTACTCAACCAGCTGTAAAGAAAGATAAACAACAAGATATCTTTGAATTTTATGCTAGACCAACATTGCTGATCAAACCTGGGGGGAAATGGTATGATCTGGAGTATACCAATGAATATTCCTTAGAACCTCAGTCCCAAGTTGTTGTATCCCAGTACAAAGCTTTGGCTCAGAAACTGTATCAACATGAAATCGACTTATTCAGGAGCAAGACAAGTAATCAGAAGGGTGGCTCCTCTTCTACGTGGATGAAAGCTATAGTGTCATCTGGGACCCTGGGTGACAGATTGGCTGCCATGATCCTCCTTATTCAAGATGATGCCATTCATACACTCCAGTTTGTGGAGACCCTGGTGAACCTTATCCAAAAAAAGGGTAGCAAAGGGCAAAGTCTAATGGCTTTAGATACTTTTAAAGAACTGCTCATTACAGACCTTTTGCCAGACAATCGTAAACTCCGGACTTTTAACCAGCATCCTTTCAACAAACTAGAAAAATTGTCAAGTGGCAATAGGGACACAAGAGATAGGCGATTGATATTATGGTATTTTGAGCATCAGCTCAAACACTTAGTGGCTGAGTTTGTGCAAGTTTTGGAAACTTTAGGTCATGATTCACTAGTTGCAACTAAAACTCAGGCACTTAGAGTGGCTCATGAGATTCTCGCTAATAAGCCTGAGGAAGAAAAAGCCCTTCTTGTACAACTGGTAAATAAACTTGGAGATCCCCAGAACAGGATAGCCACCAAAGCCTCCCATCTTCTAGAGACTTTACTTCATAAACATCCGAACATGAAAGGAGTCGTGTGTAGTGAAATTGAGAGACTAATCTATCGATCAAATATTAGCTCCAAAGCCCAGTACTATGCCATTTGTTTCTTAAATCAAATAGTACTTTCACATGATGAAAGTGTATTGGCTAACAAACTAATAACTCTTTATTTTTGCTTTTTTCGGACTTGTATCAAGAAAAATGATGTTGAGTCTAAAATGCTAAGTGCCCTTTTAACTGGAGTAAATAGAGCTTACCCATATGCTGAAATCAGTGATGAAAAGGTGAAAGAACAGCTGAATACATTATTCAGAGTTTTACATCTTGTGAATTTTAATACCAGTGTTCAAGCCTTGATGTTGCTTTTCCAAGTAATGGATTCTCATCAGACGATATCAAACCGATATTATGCAGCTTTATACAAGTAAGTGACCTTCAGTTGACCATTTATAAATGAAGTGCAGTGCCTCAGTAAATATTTATTAAAGTGCCTGGATCACAGGCAAAAGGCTTTATAATTCTTTGTAGAAATTTGCTTTGGAAAAAGGAACAGGACTCATGGATTTCATGAATTTTTACACTTTAGCCTCACCAGAATTTCATATTTATACTTTAGTATTTAATAGATTTAAAAAAAAAACTGATTCAGTGCTTGAAAACAGTCCATTGTCTGTAAAAAGCAAAGTTAGCAGCCTGCTTTTCTTAAGTTCCTTGTATTGCAGCTTGCCAAGATGTCCTAGGATTTAGAGCTGGAATGTAGATAATCTAATCCAGCCCCCTCATTTTACAGATGAAGAAGCTCAGTGGTGTGTACCAGATTTGGAGTCAGAGAGCCTGAGCTTTTTAATCTTGCCTCTTCCATATATTATGTTGGGCAAGTCATTTAACCTCTTTTGGCTTTAGTTTCCTCATCTGTAAAGTAAGAGGTTCAGGTAGAGCTAATCTGAAGGAACTCTGTGGGCCCTCCCATCTCTAAGTAGAATGCCGAAAGAATTTTAAGCCTGTTTTTATAGCTTTTGATTTGATAGTATAGGAAGAATGAATATACACGTCTTAGTTTGGTTGTTGAAATGGTTTCAGTTGTGTCCGACCCTTCACGACCCCATTTGGGGTTTTCTTGGCAAAGAAACTGGAGTGGTTTGTCATTTATTTCTCCAGCTCATTTGACAGATGAGGAAACTGAGGCAAACATGGTTAAGTAATTTGCTCAGGGTCACACAGGTAGTAAGCATCTGAGGCCAGATTTGAGTCTTTCTGGTTTCAAGTCCACTGTTCTAGCCACTGTGCCACCTAGCTGCCCGTGTGTGAGAGCATGAAATAGTTTTATTTTCACAAACTAATCTATGGTGTATGACTGACCAACGTGCTGTCTATATTAGGAGCTAAATCTTTCCATTGTGCCCTGTCGTGTTTATTTGCAATATAAAATCTTTTACAAAAAGTCCTTAAAATAGGAGTTGTACTCATTCTTCTAGCTCTGTCACTACTAACTGTAGCATGGTAAGAATCCAAGAAGCTTGAAACCTAACTGATCTGCAGTCCATTGTCGTATATATTATAAAGATCAAGTATCAGTGAAATAAGAGGGTGAGTTAGTGGACAGAGCACTTCAGTTCATTAAAATGTGATTTTCTGAGGCTTTTTTTCAGAAATATTTCTCGTTTTAAATAAGGCACACTTGTCACAAGAAAAATGACACTTTGTGTTATCAGCTTTTTTTTTTTTTTCATGTTTTCTTTTTCTGACCATGGATAAGGAATGGTGTGTTAATGGTTGAAAGAAATAGAGGTCTTGAACTTTCATAGTGAAGCTGGGAATTACAGTAGCAAAGACTTGGAGGATTTCCGAACAGGGAGTTTTGACTGAAGTACTCTGGGTGGGTAAAAGGCTTGAGAAGAGATGAGATAAATGAAAAAAACATGATTCAGGATTCAGAATGGTGTATGGGTCTCAGGGTAAATTTTCCCACCTAGTTTTGGCTCTGCTGTACCAATGTTAAGTGTTTCCATGGGGTAGGACACTGCCAAGGCTGGAGACCCATTAACTATTGTCGTTTTCTGATGCCTTCCTTCACCTTGCTGTTTCTGTCACTAATTCTCTTCCACATCTGTTACAGGAGTCATGATTCCTTAGTCTAGGACATCAGTAAGGCCAGGAAATCAGTTCTTGTAACCATCAAGCTCATTCTTTAACCATGTAGGTTAGACAGTGCCTGGACTGAATTTTTGCTACATAAGGTATCTCGTGACTAAACATAATTGATATTTCATTCTGCAGGAAGCTGTTAGATCCCGGTTTGCTGTTATGTTCTAAGCAGTCTATGTTTCTGAATCTTGTCTACAAGTCTCTGAAAAGTGATATAGTTTTACGTCGGGTGAAGGCATTTGTGAAGAGGCTGCTCCAAGTCACTTGTGGACAGATGCCGCCATTCATATGTGGAGCACTCTACCTTGTGTCTGAGATTCTTAAAGCAAAACCAGCATTACGAACTCAACTGCACGAGCATCTGGTATGTTTAAAAGCTTTAAAAAAAATTGAGGCTTGAAATGTATTTAGGTTTGCCTCTTTAAATATGGGGGGGGTTTGATCACTATGTTTTTTAAAAATGTCTTTTGCCATTTTCTAAACAAAGAGCATTTGTTTAGAAATCTATTCAATGCGAATGACTTTTTTGTTCTAGTAAAAAGATTATGTTTTCCAAGAGTTCTGGAGTCTCATGGGTTCCAGATTCAAAATGTAAGGGATAAGATTGTAGTTTTATTTGTTCACACAAAACCTGTTTTAAAGGGTTGCCCCTTTGCAAGATAGTGGCAGTTAATTTTTTTTTTTTTTTAGATTCAATCTCTGATTTCATTGGTATAGGAAACTCTTCTAATTCAGAATAACACCTGCTCTGCAACTTAATTATCCTAGAGAATTACCTGAGAGTTTTACAAGTTTATGCAACTTGTCACTTAACTAGTAGATATATCATAGGGGAGACTTGAACCCAGGTCTTTCTGCCTGTGAGATTAGCTCTGTATCTACTATTCTATGTTTCATCTCATTTACTAATTAACATTTATGAGAAATGTTCTTCAAAATCTTCCATCGTTTGAAAGGTTTTAGTCCTAATGGCCACTACAAAATTAATTTTAAATATTAAACACCCACAAAATTCTAAATTTTAAATTAGAAAATGATTTTGAAAAACCATTCTTATATTAGGAATCTGATGAAGAAGAAAATTTTTTGGACTTAGATGAAGATGATGGTACTGAAAAATTTACAGATGCTGATAAAGAAATGGAAACAAATGCAGATGAAGGAATAGACAAGGATGAGAGCACAGCTGAAAGTCTTGCAGAGGCAGAAAAATCAGGTTCTGCCTCATGGGTTCATCTTAAGAATTTGAAGGGTAAGTTTTTATAATGAAGGTATTGGATTAAATGCAGCAGACGTTTATTATGTTGTACCACCTGTTCAGTGTTAGACCTGGGGAAGCAAAGAAAATGGCCTCTGCTTTTGTTCTTCTTGGTGGAGACAGTGCTGAATACAAACGTACAATGGAATTACTGAGGGAGGGGGTGAAGTAGTATCGGGGGTGGGGGGGAGAATGAGGTGGGGGGAGATGTCCTTCAGGTATCACGTAACCTGAGCTTTGAAGGGAGCTAGTCATTCCAAAAGGCACAGTTGAAGAGAGGGAGAGTTTCAGGGTCAGGGGGCAGCCTGTGCAAAGGTCCTGAGGAAAAAGGTAGAATGTTATACACAAGGAATAGCAACCCAGAGTAAACAAACCAGCGTCATTGTAAGTTGTTTTGGAAATAAAGCTTGGAGCCAGATTGTGAAGGATTTTAAGTGAATCACTCATGGTCCTTGAGCAGGAAAGTGGATGTGGGTGGACTTGTGCTTTGAGAATCCATTGTTGGCAGCAGTGTGGAGGATGGATTGGAGACGGGAGACAGCTGAGGTGATTGCAGTAGCCTGGATGAGAGGGACTAGCTAGGGTGATGGCCGTACCACTGGACAGAAGGGGACTTGTGCTCGAGGTGTTGTGGAGCTAAAATCAGCAAGAGCTATGGAGGGTGAGAGAGCGTGAGGAGCAGGGAACAAGGGTAGGGTTGCAAACCTTGGTGACTGGCATCAGTCAGCTGTGATACTGTATGTGAAACCTTTTTCAATCTTTAAATAACTTCTGTAAATGCCAGTTATTAGTGTTGTTGAAAGATAACTAGGTCCTAGACAAAAATCGGGAAATTGGAAACAAAATAGGTAGCTTTCAGGCAGAAGGTACTGAGGTCTATTGAACGTGTTCAAAGTTTGAGGTGCCCGTGTGACATTAAGATGGAGATTTACAGTAGGCATTTGTAGGAGCTTAGAGTGATGAGGGCTGGATAGAGTAACAAAGTTTCTGGTTTCATATTGAATTTTTTTAATTGATAGCTTTTATTTTTAAATCAGTTACATTTCCCTTATATCTCTCCCCCTTTGCCCCTTTCCATAGAGCCAGTTCTTATAACAAAGAATAAAAAAGAGAAGGAAAAAAAATAGTTCAGCAAAACTAACCAATACCTCAGCTAAGTCTAGCATTATATGCAGTGTTCCACACACGTAGTCCTCCACCTCTGGAGGGAAGGAAGGGAGGTGGATTCTCATATCATTCCTCAGGAACCAATTTTGGTCCTTATAATTCCATAGCATTCAGTTTTGATTTTGTTGTTTAATTCTTTCAGTTTATGTCATTGCAGTCATTGTGTATCTCATTTCCCTAGATCTGTTTACTCCATTTTGTATCCATTCATATCTCTCTTCATCATTTCTTAGGTTGTAGCAATATTTCATTACAGTCATAGACCATGGTTTGTTTAGCCTTCCTTTAATCAATGAGCTTTTGCTTCATTACTCTTCTTTGATACTACATATAAATGCTGCTGTAACTACTTTATGTGGGGGTCATTTTTGTGGTATTGAAAAGAAAACACAGGTCTTTTTGGCAGTCTGACACTTTAAGTAATCAATACTAATATTTATCTACCACTTTATGGTCACACAGTACTTTGTTTCACATCAAATTTGATTCTCACAACACTCCTGTCAGGTAGCTAGTGTAGGTATTGTTCCTATTTTACAGATGAAGAAACTAGATAAAGTCTTTGATTCTTTGATTACACTCTATGGTGTCAGAGCCAGGTCTGGAACTCAGACTTATCATTGCTCTGAGAGTCAGCATGATGTAGTGCATTAGTTACTGAATTAAGAGTCAGAAGACCTGGGCTTCAAGTTCTGTCATTTATCTCTAGAGATATGACTGTAAACGGGTGATACAACCTCACTGAAACTTCAGTTACTGCATCTGTAGAACAGGAACAGTAACAGTACTACCTATCTCATGGGTTGGCTGGGAATAAAGAACTCGAGGAGAAGGTACAACCTGGTCTAAAGTTAGGCTCTAGAATATGTGGGCATGTATAAGAGAACCAGTTACTGGCATTGCTGGACAGCAAATGGCCCTGAATTAGCAAAATTATGTGGTAGATTGGGTGCTATCAATCTGAGTGATGGGTTTTTTCTTTCTAGACCTGATATTTCATCGGTGTGTGAAAACTCCTTATCATTTCAAATCACCAATTCATATATAACTTGCAGTATTTGAGAATTGTCTGAGGGTACTGAGAACTGAGTGCTTTGCCAATGGTCATACCGCTGGTATATATCACAGACCCTGTGGTATAGTGGTTGATGGGCTGGCCTTCGAGCTGGAAAGTTTGATTTGGAAATCATTACTTTGTGTTCTTTTAGGTGGAAAAAACTTAAATACGTATGATCCATTGAATCGAAACCCTCTGTTCTGTGGAGCAGATAATACAAGTCTTTGGGAACTCAGGAAGGTGAAGTATCCTTAGATTTTCATTTAATAGCACTGTGCTCTAATTGAAATAAGGTTAATATTTTTCCCAAAAGGAGAATGCCACAATTTTTATTCATTTCTCTAGAAACTGAAAAATTCTATGCAACTGCAAAGGATTTTTTTAGTAATTTATGTTGTAGCCTATTCTCAGTAAATGTGACTATTGAATGTTTGACTCTAATAGATAAAAACCTCTAATCAAAGATGTTGGGAAATTATTCTCACATTTCACATAGATGGGAAGGAGGGTATGTCAGTAGTTCATGTTTTCTCAGTTTTGTTTTTTCCATATTGGTAAAGTTCAACACCTCTGCTGTCTTCTTCCCCTTTAGTTCCCTTGTTACTTGAGCTCTCATGGTTGAGTTACCTCCACTTTTGGTCTGAATGTCCACATGGACTAACCAAGACCCACCTCTTAGCTGCCTATGTTGTACTGATATTGTTTGGCTGAAAGACGTGGAACACTTTAGTCTCCAAGGAATTATAAAATAGTATCATTTAGAGGGCAGCAAAGAGACGTGTGATATGTGAATGGTTATGCCACCTAGTAAGCAAGAACTTGGAAGAACTAGAGTAAAAGATGGACTTATTCTGTGGTGAGGGCAAAAGATGATCTGCTTATGGCCTGTGTGTTGCCCCAATGCTTTTGTGCTATCAAGAGAGAAGGTCCCCCCCTCCTTCCCCCAATGAGAACTGGGGAGAGGACACAGACAAGAACTACACAGAATGGGTGAACATGACTGGATTGCATTATGCATCCCTGGAGGGTTCATTCACAGAAAAGAAAGCATAGTGCCATTTAAAATTTTTTTTTAGATTAAATGATGAATTTAGTTAAATTTCTTGTTAGAATGAACTAAAAAATTATAAATTCAAACAAATATTTTGAATATTTTACAGTCACTAGTGGATAGTTTTTGTGAAGTTAATTTTTGTATGAAACTAACTTTTTGAAAAGGGTATATTAAATTTAACACAAAGGTAATAAAATTGTCCTTTTTGTGTCCTTGTCTCAATTTTGTCCCCTTCTCTCCCTATCCTTTGTTAAACAAACAGATTGGTTCCTTTAAGTGACCAAATTCTCTTAATTTAATTAAAAATAGAATTTTTAGAATTTAGAATAGAAAATAGAGTTGTTCATAAATCACTTAATATATTTAAGGGAGTTTGGCCACTTAAAGGAATTGTTTTGTTTTTTAAAATCAATGAAAGAATAATTTCACAAAGCAAACAATCACCCTTTGTTCTGTTTTGCAAGTTCAGATTGTCTTTTGCCTGACAATCTTATATTAGAAATCTGAAGTTTACAAAACTTTTTTTTCTTTTTTTTCCAGCTTTCTGAACATTTTCATCCATCTGTGGCCCTTTTTGCAAAAACTATTTTACAGGTAAGTCTGAAACAAAGGAAAGGAAAAAAGATTTATTTGTAAGAAGTGTTTGTCTGACTTTCTGCTATGTAAATCACAAATAGACCCCCAGAAAATCTTTCTGTACTAACAAATAATTCTATGTTCCAGCAGTTTGAGTACTGGCCCTGCTACTTACTAACCCCTTGTGAGCATCTGTTTCCTTTCTGTGACATAAGGGAGTTGATGGTTCTAGATGTGCTGAGTGGGTACCTTCTCTCTTTCCTGCCCCCTTTTCAGCTTTCTTTTGTGTTTTCTCTTCTTTCGCTAGAATATAAGCTCCTTGAGGGCAGGGACTGTCTCTCTTTTGCTTGTGTTTGTATTCTTAGTGCTTAGCATCTCTCTGTCTATCCATCCATCCTCCCTTTGTAGTTTCTATGAACCTGAGAATAGTTGCTAGTATATGTTAATAGAGAATTTTTAATGCATGGTGTAGTAGAAAGAGCCTTTTATCTAAAGCCAGAGTCCCCACCTCTGCATTCCAGCCATTCTCCCTTGTACTTGAGTAGATCCATACTCTTACCACAGCACAGACTACACCTTATCCCACCTTCTACATACCAGGGTGCAAAACTTGTTAATAATTAAGACTCTTCAGGAATGGATGCAAGCCAGTGGAGCAAGTTGGAATCTTCTTCTCTGGAGGATTCCAAGCAGAAACTGTTCAAAGAGGTGGTGGGAGGAATGCTCAATTAGGAGGCAAACTATAGAGGCAACCCCTGAGGTCCTTTCAGCTCTTCAGATTTTATGATGTTCTAATTCGATTAAGTCATTTCATTTCTGTGTTGCTCAGGTCCCTCATCTTGGGATGAGGCTTTGCACTAAGTCTCCAGTGTCCTGGCTTTTAGGTCCTACGGTCTATTCAGATAACAATAACTTGTAATAGAGATCTTGCTGTTTACCATAGACTCTACATGCAACATTTCATTTGTTTCATATAGCAACTGAGGAAGAAAGGTAACTGGAGTTATCACCATTTTCCTTGTAAAAAAAAAAAAACAAACTGAAGTTCATTGAGGGTCAGTGGCTTGCCCAGGGTCACATAACTAATAAATGGTAGACTAGGGACTCAGATTCATCTTCTTTTCTGAGTGGTATATTATTTTACTTAAATCACTTCCACTCAATCAAAAATAGAGTGGAGAGGGAGAAGAGTAGAATGGGTAGTCTGTTATCTTGTAGAAAGAGAAGTGAAGGTCTGGTAGTCAGTAGCCCTGTCTTTAATTCAACCCACTATCACTTTTCTTTCGTAACATTTTGTGTGGTCATTAATCTACAATTTGAATTCAGTTCTTAAATGGTTTTAAGCTTTTTGTTTGTTTCCTTATTATAGGGGGATTATATTCAGTATTCAGGAGATCCATTACAGGATTTTACACTAATGAGATTTTTGGATCGATTTGTATATAGGAATCCAAAGCAACATAAGGGGAAAGGTGAGTGCTTCCTTACGTGGTAAGGGATTTAGTTATGAAACTCTGTGGCTCATGCTATATAATTACTTATGTTTTTACTGACTTACACTTCCATTTTAGAGAACACAGATAGTGTTGTGATGCAGCCAAAGAGGAAGCATTTCATGAATGATTTGCGGAATCTTGCTGGTAAGTATGAAACTCGGACATTTGAAACTATAGAGAGTTACAGAAGGATTGTATAGGCTTTTCTTGGTGTTATTTTTCATAGTGGAGTGAGTGTTATTCCTATAATTGAAAGAGTGGCTTATCCAAAACGTCTTATTCTCTAGAAAAAGAGAGAGTGTATATCCCAGGTATTGTGCCCAGGCTTTCTGTGTTTCTGCCTTAGACAAGTCTTGTAATATCTTAGAATCTTGTATTACTAACCTACATAAATAGGCCTACCATAAAGAAAGGTAGAGTTGGCATTTTTATATTAATATAAATTTAAAATTTTTATCTTAATTCTTGGATAGTTCAGATTTTTATAACTAGTCAGATTTATTTTCCTAATAGCAAGTTAACTCATAATCCTAATTTTTATTTCAGCATGGCATTTTAAAAATTAATCCCATTCTTTACATTAATATTCTTTTGCCAGAGCCTGAGAGAAGGGAAAAACTAAACTATTTCTTAGTTTAGATAATGTTTTTGTTTGGGGACTGTCTCTGAAAAGAAGACTTTATTTTTTCATTTTTAAGATCTAAAGATAATAACATATAGTTCTTGCAGATTTCCTTAGTTGACAATAGAATTGTGGTTAATAACTGTATTTTAAGACTAGTGCATGTTGTCTCCCTGATTGTACCATACATTAAAGATAATGTGTTGGTAGTGTTTTTGATAGCTTATCTCAATGATGAATTATAAAGATTTGAGAAGACAATTCCTTCAAATTTTAGTTTTTCTTTTGAAAATAAAGTGATTGTGCCTTAACTTAGAATATGGTGACAGAACCATTGTCTTGTTTATTGCCAACCAGTAAAGCTTTTAGTCTTAGACACAAAAAAAAAAAAGATGTTTCAGGAGTGAAGACCCTTTGGTGCTTTACTGATTCTTTACAGAGTTGGGGAGTGGCTTAGGGTTGACCCTCTCTTTACCCCTAGTGATTCACCTCAGCTCTTCTGGGTTTCCATTTATCATCTTTTTTGAGACCTGTGAAATATTCCATTCACTAAGTGTTTAATGTTTATTCCAAGGAGTTTTAATAATATTATACTTTTTTGAAAGTGTTATTGTTGAAATAAGATGTTTCTCTTTCAATGAAATGTAATGTAAGGCTTCTTTTATTTCGTAGTGAACAGTAAGGAATTCCTTGCAAAAGAAGAAAGCCAGATACCAGTGGATGAAATTTTTTTCTATAGGTAATATATTTTTCTTTGTTATTTCATTCTTTAATTTTTATGGTTTAGAAATGTGAAGGGCTTAGTGTAATGCTTATTAAATCAAAATATCTTGATTTTAGCTTGGGTTGCAAGTTGTATAGAATCAGTTATGAGACATCATTGGCATGTGACGTGAAAAATAAATTAATAAAGTGTTGATATGAATAGGAGAAAGTACAGTAAACCCTAAAAGGTTATTTTCTACAAATAGAATTTTGAAGTAGTAGGTTATTTAGTTCGTTCTAGGGATTTAATAGTCCTTCAAATAATTTAAAAGCTTCAGTCTGAAGCTCTACTTCAGATTTCAATGATTTAAAGAACTGAAATGGTCTTTGGTACTGGAAACATGAACCTTGGAGTGAGGATATCTAGAAAGCAAAGTTAAATTAAAACTTAATCCTATAAGATTCATCTGCTTTTCTCTGGTAATGGTGCTAGTAGTGTTTTCTTTATGGTAGCTTAGTAAGTATACTGAGTGTTCATACTTATCTCCACACATTGCATGGAGACCACATAAGGGTCTGCCTGAAAACTTCTTGGCTCCTAAATGCACTAGGCCACCTGTACTCAAGGTTTCTAATGCTTTATGAACAACATTAGCAAAAAAAAGCACCTGCCTTGGGCTCACAAGACCTGAGTTTGAATATCAGTTCTGACACATACTATCTGGACAACTTAAACTCTTGAGCCTCAGTTTCCTCATCTATAAAATGGGAATAATGATAATTTTATACTTCTCGACTAAGCATAATCGTGAGGAACCATTTACATACCTTCATGTGATATATAAATGTGAGCTTTTACAGCTATATTGATGCTAATGGCTGGAAGTGAAGCAGTCTTCTGTTCTGTCTGGAAGACCACTAGGAGCTAATATTCTAGGAAATTTAGAGGATTTTTGCAATTTGTTCCTTAAACCAAAGACTTTTAGCTGTATTACTGGTTTTAGTATTTCAATGTAGAGGCAGCTTTTGTAGCCCATATCACCAGTCAGGCATCTGGGTGTCTTCAGTTAAAATGTGCTATAGTGGAGCAGCTACGTGGCTCAGTGAATAGAGCACCGACCCTGAAGTCAGGAGGACCTGAGTTCAAATCCGGCCTCAGACCAAATACTTGACACTTACTAGCTATGTGACCCTGGGCAAGTCACTTAACCCCAATTGCCCCCCCCAAAAAAAATAAATAAATAAAAATAAAATGTGCTGTAGTTCAATGAGACCCACAGAAGTGACTGACCTGGTAATCCACCCAGGAGAAAGTAAGTAGAGAAAGAATCCATATTGCTTAGTTTGACTTGTATGCACTGAGGAGTACCCACATCATTAAGATCATAGGTTGATCAGAAAAGTATGAAGTGGCTATCGTGTGTAATGTAGAATGTAAGTAATTGGTGTGTCTTACTTCAGGTACTACAAGAAGGTTGACAAAGAAAAACATAAACGTCAAATATCTTCAGATGATGAAAGTGTAGAAGATGTAGATGACGAAGAATTTGAGAAAATACTTGGTTTGTCGTATTTATTTTTGTGAGAAAGTATTTTAAATTTAATCTTATTTGACCTTGTCCCTTCCCATCATGGCCCAAGATGAAGCAGATGGAGCGGTTCTCCAGACTGCCTGCCGTACAGATGGATGGACAAGCTCAGTTCCTATTTCTGGGAGAAACACCCAAGATGAAACAGAAAGAGAGTGGGCTGGAATATAGGTGGTGGTGGTGGTGGTGGTTTTGTTTTGTTTTTTTTTTAATGACCCCCACCCTTCTCAAGACAGAGGCTCATCTCTTTCATACTGGTATTCTTCCAGTGATATTGAGTGGCTGCATATCATGGAACCAATTCAAAGAATCAAGGTTGAGGATTTTGCAAAGGGGAAGCAAGAAGCACATGTTGGACATGAGTGGGCTTTATGCAGCACATTACTGGGGAGAATTAGAAGTGAGGCAGAGGTGCCTTGTCAGATAAGTATGTAACTGGACAAGGCAGGCTAGTCACGTGATAGGAGTGAGGGATGACTGATGGCCAGCCAGCACTCTCCTCATTCACAGAAGATGAAGAGAACTTGAGAAAAGCCCCCTGGATTATATGCTTACTTATTCTGTGCCACTCGCCCTTATTCTTTCTCTCATTTCTTCCCTGGTTCTGTGCTCTCTGCATCCCATAATTGTTGTTCATAGCCATCTGAGCATGCAGGGTATTTCATAAGTTCATGGGGTAGATTGCCGGGGGAAATTTAAGGGGAGTATAGACCCAGTCAGGCATCCATCAGGACTTTTCAGTGCATCCCCTCCTATGTCCAGCCTATCTTCTATCTTGTGAGTTTGCTATCAGAGTGGTTTTATGCTTAGGGTTCCTTCATCCTACAAGCTCTACCCGTATGGAGCAGTCACTCACATTGTTCTCCTTTTCCTTAAACTCCTAAGATCCTAGTAACATTCCAAAGGATTGTTAAAAGTCTTTGCCTCCATGTATGTTATATTACAACAGAATGCTGAATTATGGATAGGCTAGATGAAATATATAATTTAGGTAGAGGTTCTTAGTGGAAGATGATTGCTTAGGTTTCCTCATTCCTTTCTTGTCCTTTGCATGTTAGCGACTTCTAGAAGATTCTGTCTTTGCCACTCTGCTCTACATATTCTCTTTGTCTTGGTGTTATCTACTCTCATAAATGCGATAATTACCTCTATGCAAGTGACCTACAATTCTGTGTTCTGTCCTCAAATCTTTTATTTCCAACTGGTTTTATTTTAATTTCTCTGTCTAGTTCCCCACCAGTGTCTCACCTTCAACACATATTTAAAACTGGATTCATCAGCTTTCCCCCCCAAAAATTTCTTTCTCTCTGTCTTCTCTCTTGATGGCACCACAGTCCTCCCTGAGTCATTTCTGACTCTCCTCTTTTTCACCCCATTCTCCACAGCGCATAACTTGGCAGCTATAGTCATCTCTGCCTCCACAACTGTCCCCAACTTTCCAATACCACAAAAGTGCTTTTGGTTTATACTCTTACCCATTCTATTGTAGGAAGTGACTATTCTTTTTTCCTTAGGGTATCCATTTTCCAGTCCATCACTTTGATCAGAAAGTTCATGCTTCCCCAATTATATGTTAACTAAAAAGAAAATTGTTAGTTTGAGTTTTAGAAAAAAGTAAGAGAAAGTAAAACTATGTAAATTAATGTGATGCTTGAATGACATTAAATCCTGAATATACTAGTTATTGGAATTAATACTTTGGGAAGTACCAATACCAGTCAAACCATATGTGCTTCAGGAAAAATTATCCAATGTATTTGACATATGAGGGGTTTTTGATTTATCTTTGTATCATGGGAAAGATAAAAAGCTGGTGGGGAAAACAAATTCATTGCTTTTGGTGTTCTTAAATTAATGTTAGATGAGTGATCTTGGAAAAAAAACAGTTCTTGATTAAAAACTAAGTGTAATTAGAGATCCATTTTAGTCTATTTAAAGTGAAGGTGCAAACACAGGCAATTTTCATTTTTAATCCTTACCATATAAAATACATAAAAATTATTTTAAATAGAAATTTATAGAAAACAAAGAAAATAGTAATACTTCAGATATTTGATACTCCAAGCATTTGAGTTCATTTTAGCTCGATTCTTTCGTACTAGTTTATATTTTTACTATAATAAAAGTTTAGCATAACACAGTATCACAGAAGACTGATTTTCTGGCATCCTGTAGTACTGTTTACATTAGTTGTCATTGTTATTAGATGACAGTGAAACTAAGTGATCTGGGAATGTAATTGTACATAAGCTGTGCAACAAACCATTACTTTTCTCACTGTGCCATAAGTTGCAGAATTCTTTAGGACAGGTTATCACTGTCAACTTCAATAAATATTTATTGAGTCTTACAAAAGTAAATCATAGGATGTTTTTACATCTACTTATAAGTGAGAAGGTTATGAAATGTGTTGATCTTTTTTATTCTTTGCTTTGTCTTATATTTGATCTTTGTTTTCTTTCAGACACAGTTGAAGATGATAATTACTTTAGTGCTGCTGGAAAGGATGACCTCAATTTTGCTGGGTAAAGTACTTTTTTTCGCTAACTAGTTGCTTATTTTATTGTTCTTATTTAATAGGACACCATTGCCACATCTAACAAAAAGCTTAGGGTACTTTTTTTTTATTTTGTTTTTAGTAATGTAAAAAAGAAAACTAAAGGGACTAAAAATACCCGGGAGGGTGAAGAATCAGACATGGAAGGTAGTGATGACGATGACTTGAACGATTTGGATGAGGAAGAGATCTCCTTGGGCAGTATGGATGAAGAATTTGAGGAAATTGATGAAGATGGAGGTACATTCATGGATGTGCTAGGTGAAGAAAGTGAAAGCATTCCAGGTCAGTAGGCATCTTTGGATGACGGGAACTTTGACTTGAGATCTTCGGGGAACCTATCAGCTTTATTTTCCCTGAAGTTTATAGGGCATTTGCCCAAGTAGCTTCCCTAGATACTTTTTCCTTAAGATTTTATAAACTTTGATGATTTTAGGTTCCTTTCTTCAACCCCAGATCAGTTTTTCTCCTGTTTTTTTTTTTCACATGGCACCATGGTTTAATTGATGCTAACAGACATCCTGTTGATGTGGATGAGGGAGGTGATAGCTTCATTTTTTCTGATGGAGAAATTGAGACCTTTGTAAAGTAAATAGCATCCAGAGTCAGGTTCCCCAAGATGACTTTTCTGCTCCTCTTCTGTCTCTTCCCTTTCCCCCACCCCCTTTCCATTAGTTGGTATTTCTGTATCTGAGAATGAGTATAGGGAGTAGGAGCAGAGAGTGAGAATAACTCACATGCCCTGGGATACTTCTGATAAAGTGTCAGCTCCCTGGATATCTTTGTATCATGGGAAAGATAAAAAGCTGGTGGGGAAAACAAATTCACTGCTTTTGGTGTTCTTAAATTAATGTTAGATGAGTGATCTTGGAAAAAAAATTCCAGTTCTTGATTAAAAACTAAGTGTAATTAGAGATTCATTTTAGTCTGTTTAAAGTGAAGGTGCAAACACAGGCAATTCTCATTTTTAATCTTTGCCATATAAAATATAGAAAACAAACTCACACTCTTGATTTCCCCAATACTTAGACCTGAGGAGTTGTTTAATAAATGTTTGTCGATTAATCTACTGATTTTATAGCTTATAAATCACGTCCTTACAGCAAACATTCTCCAGGGCAACTGGATATAGTAACATTGCTCTCTAGCCCTGTTTTACAGATGACAGGGCATATCACATGTTGAGCCGTTCATAACTTGGCAGAATGAGGGCTGAAGTTTAGGACTGGCTAGTTATCCTGGCACATGCCAGGAATGGCTTGGGACACCAGAGCTTCTCTGCCACATTGTCCCATTCTTGGAACAATAGAGAGCTGAAATGCCAAAAATGAATAATCTTTGTAATTAGTGCTGTTATAGACAGTATGTTTCAATTCAATTTCTCTGTTCCCTCTGAGACACTTACTGTGCATGTGTTATAGTGACTTGGCTGCATGTGGAATGAGAAGATCTGGATTCCAATCTCCGTTCTGTCAGCTTCCCTCTCTTGGCCTATTTCTATATTAGAAAACGGGATTGAAGTAAGGTTCTGACCAGTTATGAATTACGTGAAGTGGAACTTAGTACATAGGAAAGGAACGTAGTGCTCTGCTTTGTGACCCTGTAACTCATAGCACTGGAGGCCTTTCCTCATGTCCCATACTGACAGTATCTTCCCTCCCAAATTATTATTACTTCCCAATTACATGTATAGATCTTCTGTGTATACAGTTTATTGTGTGTGAAGAGCTCCTGGAGGAAAAGCACTGTACTTGTGCCTTTTTTTGTATCCCATTTACTTAGAAGAGTGCCTGGAACATAGTGGGTGCTTAATAAATGCTGGTTGACTGACTGACTTAAATTGCTCTATACATGCTTTTGTTTTTGTTTTTAATAACAGAACTAGAAGATGAAGTCAGCACCAAGGCCAGCATTAAAAAAGGCAAACGGAAAAAAGTAGATGATGTTGACTTTGCTGCATCACTTCAAGGTAAGAAGAGATTAATTTCTTTCATACTTTTGTTCTCTCCGACTTAAAACTGGAAGGAACTAATGTATTTTTTCTCAGAAAATATTTCCATATTGAATATGTTCATATTTTCTCCTACACTGTAACCAGTCCTTCTTAAAGCCTCTTGTAATATGCAAATCCAAAGTACATGGCATTTGTTTTTTACATTTTTTCCTTCCCTTGGTCCCTACTTCATATTTAAAAACCTTCCAGATCTCTCCTTCTCATTCATGGTGAGAACACTGCATTACTTGACACCTAAACTCCTTTTCCACAGCATCTTTCTCCCCAAGTCTTCTGATTTTATGACACTGAAAATGGATTCCTTCCTTTCTAGCTAAAGCCAAAGGCTTGTTCTTTATCTTGCTGGAGGTTTGGAACTTCTCTGTTCTCTTCCTTGCTTACTCTTGAGCATTTAAAACATTTTTCTGAATTACTGGTGCTGATGAATAACAGGCTTACACAATTGTAATACTTTGGAACTCCATTACAAATAATTTAAAAAATCTTGACTATAAACTTTTGTCAGCTTTTTCTGTATTTAACAATGTCACAGTGATGATGTATCTCGAGGGCATAGTCATTTGCTTTAGACAGTATAGCATTATTTCTATAATTTTTTTTTTTTTACTGAAACTTTAGGCCCTGGTTTGCATAGCTGAGTCAAGTCACAGTTTTGATTCTCCTACTTGGCATTGTAGCATAGTGGAGGGATAGCTAGCCTAAGGAAGACCTTAGTTCAAGTTCACTCTTCTTTCTTCAGATCTGGCTTCAGACATTTACTAGCTGTGTGACACTGGGCAAGTCAGTAAGACTCTGCCTCAATTTCCTAAACTGTAAAGTGGAGATAATAACAGCACTTAGCTGCCCAGGGTTGTTGTAAGGATCAGATGTGATTGTATTTATAAAGTGCTTAATAGAGTGCCTGGCACATAGTAGGCACTTAAATGCTTGCTTCCTTTCCTACTTGAATTATTAAGATTGTAACAATATATAGCGTATACTGAAATATGTACATAGAAGTTGCTTCTTTAGTTTCTTTCATTTACCAACCTGCCTTTTCCTTTCCTCCATCCTCCTCTCCCCATGTGCACATCTGTCTTTACCTATCAAGTAGGGGAAATAGAGAATTCCTTAGCTGCGGACCAGTGGTTGTGACTCTTGTGGCTTCAGAAGGCAAGTGAGAATGATAGGTGGAGAGAGAGCAAGAGATAAATGGGCCAGGGCTTCCTCTTAATCTAAGCTTCTCTATCTAGCCTCTTCTACCTTCTTGTAGGATTTACAGGTATAACCTATTTCATGATGTTTTCCATTTTCTGCACTTAATCTAGGATTTAATACCTAATACTTTTTACAGGCCCAAGGCAGAAAAAGAAGCGATCCTTCAATGACTCCAGTTTATTTGTATCTGCTGAAGAGGTAAGTATAAAACATAGATAAAGAGCAATAAACTAAATACAATTATTTTAAGATAAAATTTTCATAAACTTCTCTTTTTTTGTTTTAAGTTTGGCCAGCTGCTGGATGAAAATGTTGGCTCCAAGTTTGATAACATTGGTATGAATGCCATGGCCAACAGAGACAATGCAAGTAAGTGGTTTGTAACATTTAAGATCAGGGGTCCTGAAATATTATTTGAGGAAGGAATAGATGACCTTGATTTAATATAACTGGAAAACCTTGTCCAAAATTTCATGGATGTGTCTTCTAGAAGAGCAGAGTGTGAACTATGTCTTCATCATAGCTAAAGGAACTGTAGGCACCATTTGGCCCAACCCATGCACAGCAGTCTCCTCCACTGCCTACCGAAAAAACAGCCATCCATTTTTTGCCTCAACACCCCTAGTGAGAGGAGCTCATCACTGCCCCACTCAGCCCATTGTACTTGTGGACCGCTCTAGTCCTCAGGAAGTCTTTTCTTATAGCACTTTCCACCCATTGTTTGGAGCTCTGCCCGCTGAGACCAAACAAAGCCAGTCTTTCCCCTCTTTTGTCATGGGCCTTCCACTCAAAGATCATTGTCATGCCACCCCTGAATCTTCTCTAGGCTGTCTATTCCTGTTCCCTCCAGGGATGGGAATATAGTAGAATATCAAGATGATTTGAGCAGTGTCCATGAACTGCTATATGGTCTTTAATTTATCAATGTCTTTTCTGAAATGGGGCTTCCAGAATTCTAATTTATTAATTACGTTACTTACCATAAGCCCCATCAAAATGAACTAAAAGTTATAATTTCTGACATTTAAAAATTATTCAATGCTTTTTTCATATTAATGAGGTGCTTTATTAAAAGATAAATCCCTGTAGAAGGTTTTCCTTTCCTTCTGCTGTATCCATCTGCCTTCAGAATAATGGAGTGGGAGGGACCTCTCACCCTACTAAAGTTTGGCTTTACGTGCTTGAAAATCCTTTTGGTAATAAAAATACTTTATTTAATGCAATTACTCCACCAAGTCGACTTTTTTCTTCAAAGGTATCAAACAGCTTCAGTGGGAGGCTGAACGAGATGACTGGCTTCATGACAGAGATGTGAAAAGTCTTATCAGGAAGAAGAAACATTTCAAACAGAGAGGTCCAAAGAACGTGCACAAAAAGAAAAGGCCAAGGAAATGAATATTGTTTTTTTTTAAGAGCCAGTTATTTATAACTTTGAAATTCATCTTGTTCACTCTTATTCTGTAGCTTTCAGGCTGTTAATTGAATTTGTAATAAACAATATATATAAGACCATCTGGGTCATTTGTAAATTCATGTAAAAGTGGGGTTTTAATGAAAGCTTTAGGCTATGTTACAGGAAGGCCTAGCCTTATGGAGCAGCATATCGTAAAGATGATGATGCTAGGTCCCATTTGTACACAGAGATCTGAGAGCCCTGGGAGGAGGTGGGGAGTAATGGATACTGCTCCTTTTATAGGTGAGGGTACAGGCTTTGGGAGGGGTAAAATGACCTGGTTAGAGTTGTCCAGTTAGTGTCTTGGATTCAGGAAAGTCTACATTTGCAGATAAACCTTTTGGAGTCCTATTTAATATGGTAAAACCTGAAGACTTGGAAATAGGGTAGCACTTTCTAGTATCTCAGGGCAGTGCTTTTGAAACTGGTTCGTGGGGAGGACCAGAAAGACTTGGGAAGGGAGCTGGTATTTGTCAAGTTACACATGGCAGGGTACATAATGAGTTGAGAAGTATAGCATGTTAGCCCAGTGTATCTGTACTAGAGCATAATCTCTCCCTTTTCAGCCCATCTATAACATCCTTTGTGTAAAGAGTACGTTTTAAATTCCGAAGCTTCTCTTTGACTGAAATACAATATCACTTAAATTCATTTGATGAAGAAGTTATAGAGGTTAGAGTACTGTAATAATAGATAGTTATGGAGCACTTTAAAGTTTGTAAAACACTCCACATCTAGTCACCTTTTTGATAGAACACGGGAAAATTTCTGAACAACCTACATTTTTATTTCTTTCTAGGGAAAGGGTTTAAGGCAAGGAATGAATCAGTTCTTTTCCATTCGCCAGATGTGTTATGTCCAGATATTTTCCGAGAGAGCTCTAAGGGAGATAACAGATAATCCTTCAATCAAATAAGGAGTCTGCTTCCCAGTTTATAATACTCAAAAAATAATGTTAGGTACTGAAGAGAATCTGTGAAACTGCTATTTCAAGGCTGAGAAAGGAAAGGTCATTTTTGATTGTGGGATGCCACAAATCCTTCATAAAAGTTAACATTCACCTGTCTCAAAAACTCAATAGTACTTTTTTAAATAAGTTTTTTACAATTCTGAGCACACCCTCCCTCCATGAGATTTTCTATACACAACACAGAACATAGAGGATTGTATATGAAACCATGAATTTTTATTTCACACTCTTTACTTTGAAAATATACGTTTATAATGCATTTCACATTATTTTAAAAATTGCCCTTGTCTGTGCTTCCTCCTGGAAAATAAAACATTTTTATTCTGATGTGCATTTTTAAAGATGTTCCATCAAACTCCTTTTTGGGCTTCATGTTTGCTACCCTGCACCTTCCCCTGCCCCCAATCAAAAATAAAACCCTTTTTAAACAAATAATTATAGTCAAGCAATACAAATCTCCACAGTGTACAAATCCAAAAATGTGTATTTTTCTATACCTTGAGTATGTCACCTCTGTTAGGAGATGACAAACTGACATGCTTCATTATAGATCTTTTGGAAAGTGGAGTTGATCTTTGCTTTCAGAGTTCTGAAATCATTCAGTGTTGAATTTGATTTTGTTTTGTTTTTTACTGTTAACCATTTGAATTTCTCTGATTCTGCTCTGTTCATGCCATCCACGATTCTCTGAAATTTTCTTTTTTAAAAAAAAAATTTTAGTTTAAATTTATGAAATAAGCATTTCCATAATATAGTAGAATTAAAAGGATGATTGCACATGAATCTCCAAATCTACTATGTACAACTTGCTATTCTTTTTAAATATATAATAAAGTTATCATGTAATTGTTTTCTTTTTTTTAACCCTTCCTCCTCCCCCCACCGTAGAGCTGGCTACCATTAGATACAAATGTGTGTGTGTGTGTGTAGAATCATTCTATACATATTTCTATTAGTTTTTTGGATGCAGAGAGTGTTTTCATAGGTTCTTTGTAGTTAATTTGGGTATTTATAATAGTCAAAATGATTAGTCACTCAAAGTTCTTAAAATAATATTGCTGTTACTATATATATGTATATATATGTGTGTGTAAAATCTTTCTATACATATTTCTATTCTTTGGATGCAGATAGTGTCTTCGTAGGTTCTTTGTAGTTAATTTGGGTATTTATAATAGTCAAAATGATTAGTCACTCAAAGTTGTTCTTAAAATAATATTGCTTTTACTGTATATGACATTCTCTTAGTTCTGCTCATTTTGCTCCAAATTATTTTGCGCAAGTCTATCCATGTTTTTCTAAAATCAACAAGCCCATCATTTCTTATGGCATAGAAGTACTCTAACTCTATAATGTATCACAACTTGTTCAGCCACTCCCCAATTGATGGGCATCCCTGAAATTTCCGGTTTTTTGCCACCACAAAGAGAGCTGCTGCAAGTTCTTTTCCTTTTTCCCCAATCATTTTTGAAAATAAGACCTAGTAGTGGTATTGCTGGGTCAAAGGGAATAGGCAGTTTAGTAACTTTGAGCATAATTCCAGATTGCTCTCCAAAATGGATCAGTTCATAGTTCCACCAACAGTCAATTGGTTTCCCATTTTCCCATATCCTCATCAACATTTATTGCTTTCTCCTTCAATTATTTTAGCCAGTGTAATATGTTATCTCAAAGTTGTCTTAATATGCATTTCTCTAGTCAATAATGATTTAGAGCATTTATCAATTGGGGAATGATTTGTACTCTTACAGATTTGACAAAGTTCTTTATGTATTTGAGATGTGAGACATTTATCTGAGAAGCTGTCTATAAAATTTTCCCCCAATCTTTTGCTTTCCTTCTGATCTTAACTACATTTGTTTTATTTGTACAGAATCTTTTTAATTTAATGTAATTGAAATTTTTCATTTTATACCTCACACTGCTCTCTATCTCTTATCCATAAGTCTTTTGGTACTATTTTCTTCTAATTCCCTTATGATATCTCTCTTTATATTTAGGTCATGTATCCATTTTGGCCTTATCTTGGTAATTGGTGTAAGATAATGTTCTATGCCCAATTTCTGCCAGACTGCATTCCAGTTTTCCCAACAATTTTTACCATATAATGAATTCTTATCTCAAAAACTTAAGTCTTTACACTTGTCAAATACAAGATTACTGTATTTGCTACTGTAGTATGTCTACTCTGTTTCCTTGCTCTATTTTTTTATTTCTTAGCCCAATACCAGATAGTTTTGATAATTACTATAGTTTTGATAATTACTGCCTTTAAGATCTGGTACTACTAAACCTCTTTCCTTTACATTTTTTTAAATTAATATTCTTGGCTTTTTGTTCTAAATGAATTTTATTTTGTTTTTTTCTAATTCAGTAAAATAATTTTTTGGTAATTGAAATCATCTCTTCATTTCTTACAGTACAACAGTATTTCATTACATTCATAAATCACGATCTGTTAAGCCATTCCCCATTTGATGGGTACCCCCTTAGAATCTAGTTCTTTGCTTTCTACCACCCCCTTCCCCACCCCCTGCTTTTAAATTCCCTTTTCAGGTTTGAGAAGTTTACTTTGTTTACAAGTACTCCTTTATAACTGCTAGTCCTTCCCTAGTATTTATCCTCCCTCTTAATTACTTCCCCCCATCCCCATTTGTCTCACTCTTGAGTTTGATGTATTAATGCAACAATGGTGGGTGTTTCACCCATTGTTTCAAACAAGTGAGATTCATCTGATGTCTGTTCTCCCCCATACACACAAACACTCCTTCCATGTTTGTCTAATCTTCTCATGCACCTCAATTTTTTTTATTATTTTATTTTTTCTCAATTTCATGTAAAGACAATTTTTTAACATTTACTTTTTAAAATTTGAGTTCCAAATTCCCTCCCTGCCTTTCCTCCTTGTGGAGGCAAGCAATTTGATATAAATTATGCATGATGCACTTCAGTTATGAAGAATAGCAAGTACTTCCCTCATCCCTCCATCTGTAGTCCTCTCTAGAATTCATCTTGTCAGCATCCTTTCTAAAATAATGAATGCTTAGACCTGAATGCAATAGTCTAGATGTGATCTGAGCTGGGCACAGTACGCATCCCATCTCTGCTAAAAAAACATTCAGTAGTTCCCTACTACTTAAACATAAGGGAGGTCTTAACCTTTGGCAATATGGTGAAGCCTATGAACCCCTTTTCAGAATGTATTTAAATGTTTAAAATGCATAGGATTACAAAGTAAATCAATTACTTGGAAATAGTTACCAAAATATTTTTTAAAAATTCATAATCCCCAGTTAATAACATCAAGCATTTATATAGTACTTTAAGGTTTACACAGTGCTTTTTAAACATTTTATCTTTACACCAAGCTTGAGAGGCAGATGCTACTATGAGCCCCATTTTACATCTGAGGAAACTGAGGCAGATAAGTGACTAGACCAGGGTCACACAACTAGTGTCTGAGGCTGCACTTGAACTTGTCTTATCCTCACCCCATGTGCTTCATTCTATTCTGCCACCTAGCTGCCTGAGGTTAAGAACCCCTGACCTAGGAAATAACATGAATTCATCCATTAGGTATTAATTGAATCCTGTTATAGACAGAGACAGTCTCTGTTCTCATGTTCACCTCCATCCTTCAATTTAAAAACTAAAAATGAATGTCTTCTAGGAATTATAAGTCTTAGGAGATGGTCAGTAAACATTTGTTAAGTGCTTATTATGTGCTAGGCACCTGTGCTAAGCTCTGAGTATACAGAAAAAGCCAAACAAGGTATGTACAGGATAAATTGGAAACAATCAGCAGAAGGAAGGCACCAGAATTAAGAGAGATTGGAAGAGGTTTCTTGTGGCAGGTGGCATTTTAGCTGAGACTTCAAGTCAGGGAAGTAGGAGGTGGACAGGAGGAGCATTCCGGATATGGGGGGGACAGTCTGGGAATGCCTGGAGCGGAGGGATAGAATATGTTGTTTGGGGAATCACAAGGAAATGTTTTAGACTCTAGCTCCTGGCCCATAAGTAGAAAAGTCAGTATTGAGTATAAAGGGGTTTCTCCCCCAAAAGCATTGTTTGCCACTTACTATAAGAGCCCCCATCGTACTCTCTCTGAAAGTAGCCTAGAAAGCATTAACTTTTGTTTGCCGTATATCGCACTTTTGGTTTGTATTAAGCTTGGAGTTACTAAAAATCTCAGGTTTTTTCACATGAATAGTTGTGTAGCTGCTCTTCTCTCTTATTGTGCTCATAAAGTTGACTTTTTGTAAGTTTAAGATTTTACACATATTCCTATTGAATTCCATATTAATAGATTTGATCTATTACTCTTTCCCACTTAAAAGTATGGGGTTATAGATTTAGACCTGTTTTCTGGGAGTCAATGCTGTCATCCAACATGTTAAACAGTTCATAACCGTTTTCAGCAATAGGTTAGTATGCTAGTAGATGGCACAGTGGGTAGACCATTGACTGGACTCAGAGTCAGGAGGTCCCGAGTTCAATTCTAGCTTCAGACACTTAATAGCTGTGTGACCCTGGCCAAGTCTCTAGCCTCTGTCTGCCTCAATTTTCTCAACTGTAAAATGAAGATGATAACAGCACCTACCTTCTAGGGTTGTTGTGAGGATCAAATGATACAATATTTGCAAAGCACGTATCACAGTGTGTAGCCCTTAGTAGGCTCTACATAAATGCTTATTCTCTTCTCCTTTCTGTCTTCTGAAAGGTTTTCCACATTGACTATTTTTTCCTTTTGTCATTTTTCAGATTTCATGGGAATTAGGTGGAACTTTATACTTGTTAATTACATTTATCTTGTTATTAATCATTTAGAGCATTTTTTCCTATTGTTCTCAATTGTTTTTCTTCCTTTGAAAACTTCATATCCTTTGGCCCTTTTATATTGGGAAGTAATTCTTGGTCTTATAAATTTAAGTCAATTCCTTATGTATTTTTATATATTCATATTTATCCGCCGCTTGATGCAAAGATTTCTCCCTTTCCCAAGATGATAGCTTTTCTTTTTAGGCTAGCTGCATTGATTTTGTTCATGCAAAAATTCCTTGAGTGCAGTACTGTTTCATTTTGTCTTAGAATCCTTAATACTTAGCATAATGCCTGGCACATAGTAGAAGCTCTTTAAGTGCTTGTCAGATAAGTTGTCCTTAGAAATGGTTTTGTCTTTTGTAAGCACTTTTATCACTCATTTCATTAATTATTCTTCCCTAACCCTAGTGGTGAAAACTAACTTCTAACCTTTCTCTTCTATTTTTTTTTTTGAATGAAGTGATCTTTTATAATTAGATCACCTATTTACATGGTGAGAGGTGCTGATCTAAATCCATTTTCCCTTAAACTGTTTTCTAGTTTTTTTAGCATGTCTTTTCTCATAGGGAGTTCTTCACAAATTAATCTGTTTTAGGCATTATTAACCACTGGACTGTTGTAATCCTTTGTTTCCCAGTCTTGTCTTTCTAATTTCTTCTACTGATCTACTTTTATAATTTTTGACCAATATTAAATAATATATGGTTATTACTTCATATACTTTGAAATCTGGCAATACTAGTCTGCCTTTGTTCCTACTCTTTTTTTCATTACTTCCCATGCAATTCTTGATCTCGTCGTTCAAATAAAGTTTATTATTTTGCATGTTTCTAGAAATTAACCTCATTGGAATTAGATGAATGTCACACTATGTTTGTAGAT